TGATATAATTAATGATATGGTTATATTGGATACTATTGGGTTAAGTTGGCAAATTAAAAGTACTCCTTTTGCTAGATATAGTTCTACTGCCGTTTTATTACCTGATGGTATGATTTTATATATTGGTGGTAGGTCGGAGGATTTTGGATATGTTCCAATGAATCAAGTAAGTGATAAATATTTTCATATATCATGTGCTAGTGATAAGAGCCTGACCCTAGGATACATTATGTTCTGTGTGACGAATATCATGTGATCATAATAATTTCTCGAAGACACCATGTCTGATCTTGAAATAAACTGAGTTTCGAAGGATAGGAAATTGTCTTAAGCGCAGACACGTGAGGTAAAGAGACTAAATAGGAAATATTAATTTTTTATATCTAAATATTTCAGCTTCCTATATATAATACTAAGTCAGGCACATGGTTTAACATTGTAAGTTAAATAAAATAAATTCATCACTTTTTTAAAAAATAAGAAGAATAATAATAGTTTTTGAAAATAGACAACAAGTGGAATTATTCCAGAAAGTCGTGTAGGACATACCGCTACATTAGGTATGTATCATTGAAAAATGAATATTTATAAAATATAGCTCATAATTATAAATTTATAGTTCCTGATGGTAGAATTATTGTATATGGTGGAATACATATGATTGGAGAAGCTTATCTTCCACCAAAAGAAGATTTAATAGTATTAAATACATCTCGGCCAATATATGATTGGAAAGTACCTCAAATACAAAAAATGCCTGCGTCAAGATGTGCTCATACTACTACATTATATGAAAATTACATGATTATTGCATTTGGTAATTACTGTACATTACATTTAATTAAATTTTCATATTTAATCAAAATTTAAACAAATATATTTTACTTTTTCTTTTAATCTATAGGAAATTTGACAAATTATGGAGCAACAGATGAGTTACACATATTAGATATTTCAAATGAAGCAGAATATAAATGGGTAACCACGATGGATAAACCTGTACCTATTTCTAATTCACCAAATAATTCGACTAATTCGACTAATCCGATCGCCCCAAATCCCAAGCCAGGTGGTGTTAATGTTGGTCTTTTAATTGGTATTGGTTTGGTTAGTTTCGGATCGATTTCTGGTGGTATATATTACTTTTGGTATAGAAGACGTATAATTTTAGAAATTCCTAATGATGAAATGCTAGAAAGTAAAAATTAAATTATTGAATTATTATATGTATATTTAATATTTTTAATTATTTTATATTGGACTTCTAATGAAGACTTTTGAATAATAGACAAAATGAGGATTAAAAAAAAATTGATTTTTTCTTCCTTTATAATTTTTTTTTATTTTTTTAAAAACTTCAATATTAAAACATCCATCGAAAAATTATTTATTAATAAAAATCACAATATGCTTGCAATTAGCCAGATATATAGCTGTTCTCCCCAATACCACGTATAGGTTTATCATCAGAACGACCAAATTCAAGAATATCATAATGATTTCCAAACACCCGCTTTGACAATTTCTTCACAGGAATATAAACTGGTACCGGACCGGCTAATTGGCTAGAGGCAAAGCCCTTTCTTTATTCATAATATTGTGTATAGGAAAAAAAAAAGTATAAATCCTGTAAAGAACTTAGGAAGTAAATAATTATACAAATGTCCGTGTGAAGTTGGAAGAATTTTTTTTTTATGATGTAATCACGATATTTCGATCAAGTCTCTCCGGACATGTTTAATAATACAAAAGGCAACAACCAATCTTTCTGGAAATAAGTGCAACGATTTCGTATGATAAAATCATTTGTTAATGAATATTTGCAGATTAAAAATAAATAAAAATCATCCAAGAAACGAAAATATTGAATATGATTTTCTAAATATAGATTGAGATCGTCCGTACTAAATTATGCGCAGTATATTTTAAAAATCCTGTGTTTATTTTTAATTTCCTTTATTATCATTATAATAAAATAAATAATTATGCTGTGTTCATTTTGCAATTAATTAAATAAATGTTCAGGGCTCTTCTTTTACTTACTTTTATTTTTTTTTTAAAAAAAAAAAAAGATGGACCTAAAACATTTAACATTTATTTTCTTATTGTTATCGTTGATATTTGCACAACGACAATATATACCGACACCTCGATATTCTCATACAGCAGTAATGATAGGAAATAAAATATATTTCAAAGGTGGTGTAAACCAGGGATTTGACGGTCTGGGATTTGAAGATTTTTTTTATTT